GCAAGGGTGAGGTCACTCAGGTGTTGATCGACTGGATCCGCGCAGCTCGTCTTCAGCTTCGGAGAAGCTTTGGCTCTGACTTCCCTGTCTTGCGTCTGCACTCGGACAGAGGCGGAGAGTTCTCCTCGGCCCTCCTGAGTACCTACTGTCGTGTGCGAGGCATCCGTCAGACCTTCACGCTTCCGGACTCACCACAGCAGAATGGGATCGCTGAGCGCCGCATTGGCATGGTCATGGACGTCGCTCGTACGTCCATGATGCATGCGGCTGCTCCCCATTTTCTGTGGCCGTTTGCGGTCAGGTACGCTGCGCACCAGATCAACCTCCACCCCAGGGTCTCTCGACCGGAGACCTCCCCAGCTCTGTTGTGGACGGGGAAGGTTGGCGATGCGTCGGCGTTCCGGGTCTGGGGATCTCGGGCGTTTGTTCGCGACCTGTCTGCGGACAAGCTGTCCCCTCGTGCTTCTCCCTGCGTCTTCCTCGGGTTCCCCCCCGACGCCCCTGGGTGGCAGTTTTACCACCCCACCTCTCGACGTGTTCTGTCCTCCCAGGACGTCACGTTCGACGAGTCGGTACCCTACTACCGCCTCTTCCCCTACCGCACTCCGTCCCTCCCCCCACCCCCCCTCTTCTTGGTACCAGGTCCCCCCCCCAGTAGTCCCCCTCCCCCCTCAGGGTCCTGCCCCTTCAGGTGTGTCTCAGGTAGACGCGGTCGAGCCTGTCGAGGTCCCTGGTGACTCCGGTGCTGCTGCGGGAGCTGAGCCTGGGGGTGCGGAGTCTAGGGGTGCTGTGTCTGGAGGTACTGAGCCTGGGGGTGCTGAGCCGGGAGGTGCCGAGCCTGGAGGTGCTGTGCCTGGGGGTGCTTCGTCTCACCGGGAGCCGCTCTCTCCACTAGAGCTGCGTGAGTGGTTTGCCCGGCGCTGGAGGCGTGCCGCTGGTGCTGGTGGTTCTTCGGCTGCGGAGGGCGCTGCTGCCACGCGACCTGGCGGTGCTCGTCCTGTGGGTGCTGGAGCTGCTGGGTCTGAGTGTTCTCCTGGAGCTGGTCCTGCTGAGGACGTTGGCGCTGAGCCTGCGGTTGGTGGTCCGACTGACGGTGCTCCTGGTGCTGCTGCTGGAGGTTCTGGAGCTTCTGGTGGTTCTGCTGGAGGTGCTGCTGGAGTGGGTGCTCCTGCCGGGGGTGCTGGTGCTGTTCCTGCTGTTTCTGGCGTCGCCGCGCGGCCCCGACCGTACTTCGTTCCGCTCCTGCAGCAGGTTCTTGGTCTTACACCTCCTCCTCCTTCCTTAGAGGGTCCGCAGCCTGTCCGGTCACAGCCACAGCTACAGCCTGCCTCCCCTTTGCCTGCTCCTTCTCCCTACGCTGGTCCGACTGGAGGTCTTACTGAGCGTCGTGAGCCTGCGTCTCGTCCTGCGTCGCCTGTTCGTACTGAGCGCGCTAGTGGTCGCGGGTCGCGTCAGCGTCCTCCTCCTGTCCCTGGCACGCACCGGATGTCACTGCGTCCGTCCACTGCTCCTCTGCGTGCCCCTTTGCCTTCTCCTCCTGCTTCCTCTCTTCCTGCTCTTGCCGACCCGGAGTCGGACTCTCTTCGTGCTGCCAGTCCTACTGTCACGCGTCTCCTTGCTACTGCTGTCACTGACCCTTCCTTCGAGTCGTCTGCTGCGTCTGCCCTTGTCACTGAGCTTGTCGACTTTGCTGCGCGCTGTCGTCTAGACTACGCTGCTCGTCTTGTCGCTGAGTCTGAGTCCGCCTGTCCTCCGTCCGTCGGGGGTGAGTGTGCCCTTGGCACGGACGTCCTAGAGGACAGGCAGGAGGAGTTCCAGTGTCTAGCCGCTGCTTCACCTCGTCTCGCGTCTGTACTGCTAGCCCCTGAGGGAGACCCGGATGCACTAGACATCCCGACTCCGCGTTCTTACGCGGAGGCCGTAGAGGGTCCCTACTCCTCTCAGTGGCAGGCAGCTATGGATGCAGAGATGGCTTCCTGGAAGTCCACAGGCACCTACGTTGACGCGGTTCCCCCTCCTGGGGCGAACATCGTCAGTGGCATGTGGATCTTCAGGGTGAAGCGGCCGCCGGGCTCGCCGCCTGTCTTCAAGGCGCGTTACGTGGCTCGTGGCTTCAGTCAGCGGCAGGGAGTTGACTACTTTCAGACCTTCTCTCCCACCCCGAAGATGACCACTCTTCGGGTGCTGCTGCACATTGCCGCTCAGCGCGACTACGAGCTTCACTCTCTCGACTTCAGCACTGCGTTCCTGCAGGGTAGCCTGCACGAGGAGATCTGGCTGCGCCGTCCGCCTGGCTTCACTGGGACTTTCCCTCCTGGTACCCAGTGGAGCCTCCGACGGCCAGTCTACGGTCTCCGCCAGGCACCGCGTGAGTGGCACGACACACTGAGGACTACGCTTGCGGCTCTTGGGTTTGCTCCTTCTACTGCTGACCCGTCGCTGTTTCTTCGCACCGACACTTCCCTGCCGCCGTTCTACATCCTCGTGTACGTCGACGACTTGGTCTTTGCCACAGCGGACACTGCTGGACTCGCCTACGTGAAGTCCGAGCTGCTGAAGAGACACACGTGCACAGACCTGGGTGAACTGCGCAGCTACCTTGGCTTGCAGATCACTCGGGACAGAGCACGCCGCACCATTACCCTGACTCAGTCACACATGGTGCAGCAGGTCCTTCAGCGCTTCGGCTTCACGTACTCCTCGCCTCAGGCCACTCCTCTGCCTACTCGCCACTCACTCTCAGCTCTGCCTTCGGATGAGTCCGTAGAGTCGAGTGGTCCGTATGCAGAGCTTGTTGGCTGCCTCATGTACCTGATGACCTGCACTCGACCTGACCTTGCATACCCTCTGAGCATCCTTGCACGCTATGTTGCTCCTGGGAGACACCGACCAGAGCACATGGCTGCAGCGAAGAGGGTATTGCGCTACCTGTGCAGTACGTCGGGCATGGGGCTAGTGCTTGGAGGGCGGAGTCCAGTGGTCCTTACTGGGCACGCAGACGCTTCTTGGGCTGACGACCAGGCTACGCAGCGGTCGTCACAGGGTTACACCTTCAGCCTTGGTTCCGGCTCTGTCTCGTGGCGGTCTACTCGCTCGTCTTCGGTTCTCGGCTCCAGTTGTGAGGCTGAGATCTACGCCGGGGCCATGGCTGCACAGGAGCTTCGCTGGCTCACCTACCTGCTGACTGACCTTGGAGAGCTGCCTCGTTCTCCTCCAGTGCTGTACGTAGACAACAAGGCCATGTTGGCCTTGTGTCGAGAGCAGCGCTTGGAGCACAGAACGAAGCACATTGCTCTCCGCTACTTCCTTGCTCGTGAGCTGCAGCAGCGTGGTCAGTTGCGACTTGCTTACGTGGCCTCTGAGGCCAACACTGCTGATGTGTTCACCAAGGCACTTGCGCCTTGCGACCATCAGCGCTTTTGTACCCAGCTGGGTCTTGTACCTGTCTTGCCTCACTTGCTCTCTTCTTGACTTTACTTGTACTTTGACATATATATACCTGCTCTTGCTTGTCTAGTTTTATATATATGTCTTTACTCCTGCATGTGAACTGGCCTCTGGCCTTGCTCTTGTGCTCGGACTGTGTGGTGACTTTGTGATCCACCCTGAGCTTGTTTTGCTTTGCTTGACTGGTCTTGTGACCCCTTGTTCTCCCCCACTTTGCCTATGGGGGTGTGTCAGATTATTATAGCTGATGCATGTTTGTAGGCTATAGTGGGGTAGCACATATGGGGTACAGTTTGCTAGGGTTGTATTTGTACCCAACTCTGACTTAGTCAATTCATTCCACTGCTCATAGTTTCACAGATCTGTCATACTGTCCAACATCCGAGATGGCAGCCGATTACTTGACCAAGAAACTCGGCAAGCAGAAGTTCGAATACTGCATGATGCTGACTGGACAAGGCCACGTCACCAGCAGTAACACTCCAGAAGCGAAGGGGAGTGTTGGAAACAATAAGTCCTAAGTGCGCTTCTGTCGTATCAAAATCCAAGGTACCAAGCGAAGCAGTCCCAATCGAAGCATCGAGTCAACCTCGGAGGTTAGGGTAACCGCCTGGAGGTTACGAGAAAGTCAAAGGTCGCTGACCTTTGACTCGACAATTACAGCGCGACAGTTAAGGACACACAACTGACTCGTTACAGAGCAGTTGCCCGAGTCGCGCTATATCGAACCGCAACAGCAATACAGTTATCTATCTATTCCTTGTACTCTTATATAAATCCTTGTATTTGCTTGTTTAATTCAATCAACTTTGCTCTCACACACCAGTGCAAGGTCGGTTCAAATTCTTCACTAAACGCTTCCGCTGTTACAACTACTTCACCTAGAGTTATCCCTTGCAAAGATCCTAAGGGGCTATCTCAGCCCAACATCAGGGAGGGACCCACCAGGCAAGGGATGTGTCTAGGGACATCCAGAGAAAAAGCTGCAGCCAGACAGAGAAACAGTGCCCGCCCTCCCCACCAAATTGACAATCGCACTGCAGCAGAACCAACCAAACCAATGGAGAGATTATAGCTGCATGGTCCCATATTTAAGACACGCTGATCTACCAGTGTAGCTGATACATTTTGTTACCTTTTTAGAGACTTGCTGGGAAGAACAGGCTCAATTTTCAGCATCATCTACCGTAATATTCCACGCTGTTAATATTCAACCGTAATTTTGCTCACCGCGGTGCTTGTGTATATAAGGCTCGGAAATCAGACTCTGAACAGTCCTGGGGACATAAAAGAGGAGCCCTAAACACACGTGGATAATAGGATTTGGTGCGGTATTTTGCTAATGGTACCTTGGGGTGTTGGATTGTTCTGCTAAACCATATACAGAGGGGGAGGGTAAGATTCTTGCTAATTTCTTGCCAGTACAAGAGCAGGGGGTCTGTACTGCTAAGTACAACTGGCCGACAAAAAGACCAAATAAGGGCAATAACATATCTTATCTACCCACCATGTGTGCTACACTGACGTTGCATAGCACTACTAAATGTGCCGTATCAGGCCTTCTCTGCGATTCTGCTGAGATGCTCGAGCACCAGCGACGTGCCCTTGGCAAATGACACATCCTCATAGACGAGTCCGTGCTTCTCGCACAGCTCCTTCACTGATTTGCACGTCTTGCCCAGGTGGTGTCGGGGCATGGTGGGGAACAGGTGGTGCTCCAGCTGCCTGTTCAGCCCGCCTGTGAACCAGTCGTTGAAGAAGCCGCCATTCACATCACGCGTGGTCACAATCTGAAGGGGGTTCAGAGAAGGCATTGGTAGGTGGAGTTTAGTATTATCCTCTTCCAATTTGTAACCAGAAATGTTTCTTTCCAGCGGAACTGTTCCCAGGCCTACATAGTCTGTTACCCTTACCCATTTCCTCGTTTCACATCCCAGAACCGCGAATCCATGCAAATCCAGAGCAACGCACCTGGGCGGTGTAGAAGTCTTTGCCCTCGTTGTAGATCTCCATGGCGTTGTGGCTCTGCACGAACACCACCGCCAGGAACAGCCCGCCGCAGATCTGCCCCGTCAGCATCCACATAAGGCCCGTCCAGAACGGCAGGCAGCCGAAGCCGAACCCGAGCACCCACGCGTAGTGCAGCACCATGAACAGCCGCTCCCAGAAGCGCTCCTTCTCAGGCACCTCGTCCGAGAAGCAGTAAGTCAGGCTCGCGTACGACCTGCATGGCAGGGCGACGGGGGACATTGTGAGAATGCTACGCGTCAAACTGGTTCCAGGGGCCGAGCTCAAGGACATAAGCACGGCAGATAATGCGACGTGCTGGAAGACAGTGTGGCATGCGGCTCTGCGTGGTGATGCGTAGTGAAGATCCGCGTACCAGGCGAAACGGGCGAAGGAGAGGATAGGGAAGAAGAGCGGGCTCTGGTAGCGCAGCAGCGAGCGAATGGTCTTGCTCTTGACGGTCGCGAGAATGTCCTCGCTCCACGCTAAGTACGGCAGCGTGTCGATATCGGGGTCGATTGGGCGGTACTCTTTGTCGCATTCGTTGGGCACGGCGTGGTGCGTGTTGTGCTTGTTCTTCCACCAGTTGGTACTGAAGCCCATAGCCAGGTTGCCGTGGATGTACCCGCCGATGAACGTGTTCCAGGACCGCGATTGAAACACCTGCACACGATTCATATGATGTACGTCAATCGCTCCACTCGTTCGACGTAAAAGATAGTCAGTGATGCAGCGTTGAGTGGGTGCTACGTGCGCGGTGTGCGTCTCAGTTAGCGGTTTCAGGACGACTATCTGCTTCGATAACCAGCGAAAACAACAGCATCAGTGGGAGAGGTGCGCGTGGCGCTGACCTGGTGGTGAAGGAAGTCGTGCGAGAGCCAGCCGACTTGTTGCCAGTAGAGGCCGAGAAGCATGCCGGAGAAGAGCACCCAGCGCGGGTCGGAGGTCCACATGATGATGGCGATGCTGGCGGCGACAATGGCGAACGTCGACAGCACTTTGAACAGGTAATACGCGGGATTGCTCTTGAAGTACCCCTTCGCCTCGAACGACGACCGCAGATCGCGGAAGTCCTTAAGCAGATCGCCCGTCGGCTCGACCTCGCTTTCCTGTAGCGGACGAAGGGGCAAGCAGTCGAGAGGCCTTCGTGATTAGAGATACGCCATATGGCTTCCAAATCTTCATAAGCCTGATGGGAACAGGCTAGTAGGTACTAGATGATCCTATACTGTGCAGATTTTGCATAACAGGTAGAACTTCGGTTTCACGAGACTACGAGGCCACTTAGGTGGTTATCGCTGGACGACTATGGTTCATTCGATGAACTTCGTCGCTTGAATCGCAATCCAATCAGGGGGTACATCGCTTCTATCGTAAACAAGTGAGTTAGTACCTTGAGCTCGCCGATTTGCAGCGTGGCGAGGAACGATTTGGTGGACGGCTTGTGGAAGGCGGCGAACACGTCAGTGGCGTTGCGACCCGCGAGCGAGTAGATCACGCGCCCGCCTGGATGCCGGTCGGCGAAGTCGCTCACATCGTACACCTGCACGATCCACCGACACGCGAGATGAATCATGCACAGATCAGACAGGATGTTGAACGAATCGGGGCCAAGCAAGAAGCGGGACGAGGAGGATCGGAACTAGACGAAAAACAAACACAGTTGCGGATTCGAGTAGGACCTTGTTTTGGACGACCACCCAGGCGTCCCCTGAGCGGTTGTGCTTGGACACCTCGTCCATGGTGAACTGCTTCGCCGCATTGCCGTTGGATCCGGCGACGGATCGCTTCGTGAGCCCGCCTGCATTACTGGCGACGGTCTCCACGGCTGCGACACGAGCCTTGGTGACCTCGCCCTCGCAACCACCACGACCCTGAACAGACACAGGCGGGACGGCGTCACGTCAGCTCAATGGCAGACTGCACACATCTAAACACGCTACACGGGACGATATAGTCTGCAATGCCAAGACACGCACCATGGTAATTTACTAAGCTCTGCACCTAGTAGGGTACCACGGGCAGAGTCCAGCAAGAGCAGTCCCACTTCAGAGCCACCGGAAGGAACTAAGCACAAGAGGCTCAGTCTATAATGGAGGTGAGAAAGAGAACAGAGGTTTTTAGTAGAGGAGGCGAGGAGAGATGGTGGTGGGGAGGGGAGCCCAGCAGTGGCAGAGGGGTCAGAATGGTGACCCAATCTCATGCATCAGTGGATCACTTGGGGGCGCGGGACATCCTGACGAACAGTTTACGAGGTAACTACATTCACGACACTCGCAAGAGATATGTTGTGGTCTGTTGTCTGTTCAGCGACACAATGGTTGCCTTTCGCGAGGAATTCACGATCTTAGTGATCCGGCGGGAGACATGGTGGGGGCACCACGACCGAGGGGGTCACGTGGAGGTTGTTCTCGGGGCGTGCGACAGCAGCTCCTGTTTGGCGGAATCCACACCTACGACGAGAATGAATTCGCGAGCGACTCTGGGAGGCTCGGATGCTGGCATGGAAATGATCGGGCTGCAAAGCTCGATGCAATCGAGGTGAAGAAGTTGCGAACGGTTCACATCTAAACATGAACATTTCGCAAATCAGAGGACGACAAGTTGTACAAATCAAGGTCTGAAAAGTGGCGGGAGGGCAACAGCTACGATTCGCGCAGCTATGGTAGCAGTCCAGCACAGCACATGTTCCCTCCACCAAAAGTGATCACTCCCGGGGAACCTCAACTCCAACTCCCCCATTCCGCCATGACCTTCACCTACAGATCCAACTCCTGCATTCCGCCGGCTCGGCGGAAGTGGACACCGCCAAAGCTATTCCTTTCGGAGCCTTGATTTGCGGTAAGCAGGCCAATGAACGAAGCGCATTCTGCGACCAAGCTGAGTCGAGGGCGACGCGAATCTTTCTCAGTGTTGCGCTAGAGATTCTATTGGAGGACACAACGAAATAAATTCATTGATGGGCCACATGACGTGGGCCACTGAGGCTTGACCACAGAATGAGGTGGCGCAAGGGTGTCCGTGCATATTGCAGCGCTGAAAAATATCCTGGCCATATGGTCTTTCCGTTCTGCCCAGCAATTTTGTTGACCCTTTCAAGTTATTTTCGGAATCTTCAACGGGAATTTGCACACCCACCCATCTGCAATTCATCCCTATCTGAAAGACTCTAATCTCTTACACTCCTAAAATTGCTGGAAAGCAGGTTGTCGGGAAACGATATCATTATTGAAGGCCACAGATACCTAAGGTCTTTATGCAACATCAGCTATCAGAACTTCTACCTCTTCCCTAGCAGCAAGGTCCTTCACTTTGACTACCCCCCTTTCCCACTCTGTTGAACCCAGAATGATCATCCTTGACGCATTGACTCTCTCAGCCTGCTTGAACGCCCTGAGGAAGCAAAGGACAGTGAGAAAAAAGTTACGGTACTGAATGGGCAATGGGCAAATTTTAACGAAGTACCTGAACAAATAGTTGTTTGATTGACATGCAGAAGGGACCCTTTGACTATTCTCATACCATTTCAGCCGCTTGTTCTCAAGCACCAGGTCCACCCGCCTGCCCTTCTCGCGTAGCCGAGCTGCCACGGATGCAGCAGCGCCGTTGAGTGATTGGTCAAGAGGAACAACAATGTCATCTACTGTCTGTTGGAGCGATGGTAAAAGGCCTCTTTGTTTCAAAAGCTGTGAAGGGGAAAGGGAAGAGATGGCAGAGGGAAGAGAATGGTGAAAAAATAGAGGTGGGCAGAAGATGAAAATATACCAAGAGGAGGGCATGAGAAGCAGGGGTGCACATATGGTGGAGATGAGCAACCTTAAACGTTAAACACTGTCTCATAGACCTTGTCTTTTATTTGATGTGCATGATGCACCGTACCATAGTCACCTTTACCAATGCAGCTGCAACTTGCCTCACCTCCACAATGACAGCGTCCCCAAAGCCAAAGCCGCAGGCGGGTGTGTCGGAGGCAGCCCCAAAGGTGGAGAGCAGGCGGTCGTACCGCCCCCCTCCACAGATGGCCCTCAGCTCCCCCTCCCTGTCAAACGCCTGCCCGTGCTCACAGAAGCGCATGGTGAAGGAAGGGGGGGAGGGAGAGGAGGAGGAAGTGGTGAGGGGAGGGAGGGGTGGGACAAAGATTAGAGATTGGCAGCATGAGAACACATGACTGCAAATGATCTACACGAGCATAGTTGGTCAATGGAACAACGGTGTGGAATTGAACAACCCTCAACAGACGTTGCCTTAGACACATACTGAGGGACGTTACCTCAAAGACGGTGCCAGTGTAGTAAGCGAGGCCGCGCACAACAGAGGCGTCAAACTCGAGCCACTCGGCAAAGCCGTGTGCCTCGGCGAGGGAGAAGAGCCGCTCCAAGTCCGCCACCGCTGCACTGCCGCCCTCCTGCCCCCCACTCGCTGCCATGTGCTCTGCAGAGCATCACACAGCCGCACGGCAGGTGATAGAGGTAGGCAATTTGAAAAGGTACGACACAGATTAGCATGAGGAGGAAGGGGGAAAAGTGGATGAAAAGCGGAGGTGGAAAAGGGGTTGGCATGACAATGCAGGAGATGAGGCAGGGAAAGTCTGAAGCTTCTTCCATGAATAACTGAACCGTTCTCAGAGTTGGACTGCTGGCGCACCTCTAAGCTGCTGCAGCGATGTGATGTTCATGGTGGTGAGGATGGCCCGTGCTGCCGCCTCCTCCACCCCCAGCTCCGCCAGCTCCTTCCCCACCGCCCCCTCCCCGATCTTGTCCCTCTGGTCGCACGCACACACACGCACACACAGGAGGAGGGGTGACAGGGTGGTGGAATGCGGGCAGATGGTGAGGTGCGGCCAGAGTCAAAAAGGGAGGTGTGGTGGATGGTAAAAAGGAGTCTGCTGCCGCATGGCAAAGAGAGCTACAGATGTGTGGAAGGAATATACTCTGTACTGACCTTGTCCACCACCACACAGTTTTGAGTCGACTCTAGCTTTGAGTCGAGTTTTGAGTCGACTCAAAGCTAAGGGAGTATACAGATAAGTGGAAGGAATGTAGTCTGCACTGACCTTGTCCACCACCACACACACTGCTGCGAACTTGTCAGCGGGCACACCACTGCCCTCCACCACCTCTTGCAGCACCTGCCCGGGTTGGGAGGAGCGAGGAGTGGGAGCAAGCAAAGGGCGCGAGTAGTGTGGCACACATGTGAACCCTCCTCATCTAAGACAAGCAGACATGTGTAATGAGTGAAAAGCGGTTGGAACGGTGACAAGCGGTGGCCAGAGGGCAGGGCAAGCACTGCTCATGGGGGGATGCACTGCTCAGAAAAGTGTGCTTTGCCTTGCATGGTGAAGGAAAAGGGTGCAGAGCGGTACCTTGCGGTTGGAGACGCGGATGCCGACGTCCTTGGAGGAGAGCCCCACGCGTGTGAAGAACGCCACCACTGCCGCCAGCAGCTCCGCCTCCGCCTGTTCGGGTGGGGGGAGGGGGGGAAAGATGGGGAGGGAGGGCAGGAGAGGGAGGGAGAGGGGAAGAAGGGGCATTTCTGTTGAGGATTCTCAAGAGCCCCACGCGCGTGAAGAACGCCACCACTGCTGCCAGCAGCTCCGCCTCCGCCTGCTCACTCACAGGGGGGGAGCGGGAGTGGGAGAGGTAGGGAGTGCGGAACAGAAGGTATTTCATTGAGAATCTCAACAGCCCCACGCGCGATAAGTACGCCACCACCGCTGCCAGCAGCTCTGCCCCCGCCTAATCGAGGGGGAAGGGTGAGAGGTGGGGTGTGAGGTAGGTGGGAAGGGAGATGGGATGAAGTTGGTATCTCGCCTGAGAATCCCAAAAGAGCCACACGTGAAACGAACGTCACCACTGCTGCCAGTAGCCCCGCCTCCGCCTGCGCCGCTGCGCGTGGAGAATGGAGAGACAAGCAGATACTTGCGAGGGAGATGTAAGGGGGACAAGGGTCTCTGGGGTTGGGAGGGAGATGTAAGGGGGACAAGGGTCTCTGGGGTTGGGAGGGAGATGTAAGGGGGACAAGGGTCTCTGGGGTTGGGAGGGAGATGTAAGGGGGACAAGGGTCACTGGGGTTGGGAGGGAGATTCGGATCACAACGGCAGGGAATAGGGGGAGGATGGTGAAAATAAGGGGAGGAGGAGGGCGGGAAAAAGGGACAAGGGGGAGGAAATGGGAGGAGAGCGGAAAGGGAGGAAGGCTGGTAATAAAGGGAGAGAGAGGCAGGCAGGTGATGGGAAAGCAGGAGCTGGCAAGGTGGAGATTGACATGAGAAGAAAAAAATGGGATTTGAGGTGGGAATTGAGGTGGGTGGGACTTGAGGTGGGTGGGACTTGAGGTGGGACTCCAAGCTGGGACTGCAGCTCCAGTCCCGAACGCTGGGACTGCAGCTCCAGTCCCGAAAGCGGGGACTGCAGCTCCAGTCCCGAAAGCTGGGACTGCAGCTCCAGTCCCGAAAGCTGGGACTGCAGCTCCAGTCCCGAAAGCTGGGACTGCAGCTCCAGTCCCGAAAGCGGGGACTGCAGCTCCAGTCCCGAAAGCGGGGACTGCATCTCCACTCCCGAAAGCTGGGACTGCAGCTCCAGTCCCGAAAGCTGGGACTGCAGCTCCAGTCCCGAAAGCTGGGACTGCAGCTCCGGTCCCGAAAGCTGGGACTGCAGCTCCAGTCCCGAAAGCTGGGACTGCAGCTTCAGTCCCGAAAGCTGGGACTGCAACTACAGACCCGAAAGCTGGGACTGCAGCTCATGTCCCGAAAGCTGGGACTGCAGCTCCAGTCCCGAAAGCTGGGACTGCAGCTCCAGTCCCGAAAGCTGGGACTGCAGCTCCAGTCCCGAACACTGGGACTGCAGCTCCAGTCCCGAAAGCGGGGACTGCAGCTCCGGTCCCGAACGCTGGGACTGCAGCTCCAGTCTCGAACACTGGGACTGCAGTTCCCAAGCTGCAGCGTATGAGCGGGCGGTGCAGCGCATGAGCGGGCGGTGCAGCGTATGAGCGTGCAGTGCAGCGTATGAGAGGGCGGTGCAGCGTATGAGCGGGCGGTGCAGCGTATGAGCAGGCGGTGCAGCGTATGAGCGGGCGGTGCAGCGTATGAGCGGAAGGCGCAGCGTATGAGCGGACGGTGCAGCGTATAAGCGTGCGGTGCAGCGTATGAGCGGGCGGTGCAGCGTATGAGGGGGCGGTGCAGCGTATGTGCGTGCGGTGCAGCATATGTGCGTGAGGTGCAGCATATGTGCGTGAGGTGCAGTGTATGGGCATGCGGTGCAGTGCATTGGCGTGCGGTGCAGTGTATGGGCGTGCGGTGCACTGTATGGGCGTGCGACGCATTGTATGGTCATGCGGTGCAGTGTATGCCGCAGGTGTCTCCTCTGCCCAGCAGGAGCAGGGACTCGAGGCGGGACTTGAGGCGGGACTCGAGGTAGGAAATGTGGTGACAATGAAGAGCACTTGCACCAGAGTCAAGAGAGTGGTGGCACGATGAGTCACAATGCTTAGTGCAAGGCTGCCACATGTCAGTTCTCGGGCGAGGGGTGGCACTAGGGTGCAACCAGGTTTTCGGGTTCAGGGATTTGGGGAGGGACTGACCTCCACTCCCGGCACTCCGAGGATGTCCATGTTCCACTGGTAGTGCTCCCTGCGCCTGCCACGTGTCATGCGCTCGTAGCGCCAGCACTGCCCAATCGCAAACCACTTCACCGGCAGCGGCAGCGACTTGCTGCTCCGAGGAACGGTCCGACGCGTGGGCACGTGGATGAGTGGGAGGAAAGGGGAGGAGGGATATGGTGGGGGTTGCAGAGCATGGAGGAAGAGAGAAATTGGTAGGGGTGGGGCGGAGTGGAGAGACACGGAATGGGTGGGGAAACGGGAAGTGAGGCACTAGAGAGTGACCAGTTTGCTGCTGGTTCACCAAGCACACAGCATGACAGCGCCGTACCATACTCGCTTGCCACCTGCCATTTGAACCCTAGAGGCGTCTGGCGATGCCTGACGGTATCCCTTAGGGCGCTCCCCCTGCCTGATGGTGGTCTGTTCCGAGGGCGCTCACCCTTTCTGCAGCACGAGGCGGGCGAGCGAGGGAGTGAGCTCGGGGCGCAGAGCCACGCGGCGGCCGCCCTTGTCCTCGAAGTTGTACAGCTGTGCGCACGACATGCAGCACGACATGCAGCACGACATGCAGCACGCGACGCACAAGCCACCAGTGGGAGGGAAACACGGGTCACAGCGGGGAGTGGGAACATGAGGGGTGGGGCCACAGGGGGGTTGGTGTGACAAGGGATGTAGGAATACAGATGGTTCCAGGGAACGAGGAGGGCACAGGAAAAGCACGGCACGTGCACTACCGCGATTCGCCTCGGCCACCCGGTGTTTCCCCGCTCATTCCCCATTCCTCCCCCACCCCTTTCCCGCTCCCTCCTCGCAACTTTCCTGCTCATTCCTTGCCCCTTTCACCTAGGCGCCGACCTGCTGGGTGATCTCCTCGCCAGCCTTGCGCACGAAGAGCTCCTCTGATTCCAGCACGGGGTAGTCCACCTCCTCGAACCCGAACAGTTGTGATACCTGCACGCAGGGAGATTGTGTGATATGGGACCGCTTCAAGGAGAAGTGTTCCTACTCCTGCACATCTTTTGAGACGTCGGTGGTTTCTCCTGCCAAGGTAGTGCGCCTCCCCCAAGCCTCACACCTGCGACACCTGCGCACTCTCGCTCCCACACAGACGGCACCTGATAATTCTAGACTCAGAATAAAAGCTTAATATTGGCCAATCCCCCTAATGGCTCCTCCCACTGGAGGTAAGCCGCATTCTGCTCGCATAATGTCCATGTCAGGCCCGGGAGTGGGATGTGGGGTGCTGCAGGTTATGACGATTTAGCGGCCACGTCTAACCGCCGACCTGTCTGAAATGTCCGAAGAGCCAATTGCGCAGTCGCATGTCGTCAGGGGGGAAGTCTCGAGTGCCACGTGGCGGGCTCACGTCGATCAATTCCGCCTTGCCCCCCGCACCTCCCGCTTTCCCCGACGCCGGCGGACCCGCCGCCGACGGTCCCCGCGAAGAGGCTTTCTTATCCCCCTTCTCCGCTTTCTCCGTCTTCTCCGCCGTTTCCTCCGCAACTGCCGGCGCATTCGACGCCGAGGCGCGCACGGACAGGCTGGGAAGTGAAGCATGGCGGGGGCAGAAAGTCAAGGGTGAACCCTGGGATTGCCTATGAAAACTTCCTGGAAGGATCGCGTGAATGCATGCTCGGCAGATGGCTGTCGAAATGCTGTGTAGGGACGAGAGGTTGCGTGACGGAAAAATTGAGGGATGGAGATGGGAGAGTGAGGACTGGCTATGATTATTGGCTTGGCGAACACAATGGACGATCGACGGCTGACGGCATCGCAGCACGCTCTGTGTGAGAGATGCCGTCGCCATTGCGACGAGCCGCTGCGACGCGATGCTGCGATGCTCCAAAGCGTTTGTGACAGTGGGAGGGCAGTAGCAGAGGGGTCCCTGCTGAACTACGTCGGGAATCCCGATGTCTGGAGTTGCGACAGTACGGCAATCTCCAGCAGAAATGGAGGTGAGATGAAAAGCAGAAATGGCTGGGAGGAGTGGATGGAAGCGGGTGGAGAAGGGAACGAATGGAACTTGTGTGTGTGGCTGGGAGGGATGCCACGAGGATCTCAACTCTCGATTCTCTCGAGGCGGGCGGAGGTGAAAAGACAAGACGGTAGCAGTAAACTCCATAACGCGGCAGAGGGTGTACATTCCCAATATTTCATCCCTTACGGAACGCGGAAACTGTGCACACACATTGACAGAATAAGTGATTTTCTTCCACCTTCCAATTCAATGCCTTGAACAAATGGTTGAGAATGGCACCCTAATTTGGGGGCACTCCTTTATCTCAACTGGATTCCTGGGTGACAATGCATGGAGCTAGCTAGGGCTGTTCTGGGGACAATGAAGGTAAGCGGACAAAGGCAGGTAGATAGTACCTACCATCACTTCAAATACCGTACTTGCCTTTGACATGCAAGCAACTATCTGGTCCCACAAGCATGCTCAGCTCACATTCACAAACCAGCATACACACATCACCACCCATATGGACATGTGGAGCAACCATCACTGCCTTGAGAGTGCAACACAGGCATTGCAAAGTTCTAAGCCCAATGTGGGATTCCACTGTCCACACCAAGAGCAGCATATCAGGCCTTCTCTGCAATTTTGCTGAGATGCTCGAGCACCAGCGACGTGCCCTTGGCGAAGGACACCTTCTCATAGGCAAGCCCGTGCTTCTCGCACAGCTCCTTCACTGCCTTGCACGTCTTGCCCAGGTGGTGCCGTGGCATGGTGGGGAACAGGTGGTGCTCCAGCTGCTTGTTCAGCCCGCCCGTGAACCAGTCGTTGAACAGCCCGTCACTCACATTACGCGTGGTCACAATCTGAAGGGTCGCAGAGAGGGGACAATGGAGGATGAAGTGGAAAGACCAACCATCACAGAGTCAAGTTGGCATGCGTTCACTTTATACCAAGCCTGACCACCACTCAATCATGGCACTGGCTGTATCTTTCAGGCAAGACTGCTCCCAGTGCTACTTGTTCTTTCACCTCTACCGGCTTCTTCATCACACATCATCCCAGGACAGCACATCCACGGCAGTGCAACGCAGCGCACCTGGGCGGTGTAGAAGTCCTTGGCCTCGTTGTAGATCTCCATGGCGTTGTGGCTCTGCACGAACACAAACGAAAGGAACAGCCCGCCGGAGATCTGCGCCGTCAGCATCCACGTGACGGCCGTCCGGAACGGCAGGCAGCCGAAGCCGAACCCGAGCACCCACGCGTAGTGCAGCACCATGAACAGCCGCTCCCAGAAGCGCTCCTTCGCAGGCACCTCGTCCGAGAAGCAGTAAGTCAGGCTCCCGTACGTCCTGCATGGCAGGTATTGGGAAACATCACGAGGATTCTGTTGCCAAGCTAGTCCCCGAGGCCAAGCTAGTCCCCGAGGCCAAGCTAGTCCCCGAGGCCAAGCTAGTCCCCGAGGCCAAGCTAGTCCCCGAGGCCAAGCTAGTCCCCGAGGCCAAGCTAGTCCCCGAGGCCAAGCTAGTCCCCGAGGCCAAGCTAGTCCCCGAGGCCAAGCTAGTCCCCGAGGCCAAGCTAGTCCCCGAGGCCAAGCTAGTCCCCGAGGCCAAGCTAGTCCCCGAGGCCAAGCTAGTCCCCGAGGCCAAGCTCACGTAAAGAGATACCGGCAGACATTGCGACGTGCGGTTCTGCGAGGTAATGCGTGGCGAAGGTCGCGCTTACCATGCGAAGCGGGCGACAAAGAGGGTGGGTAAGAAGAGATAGCTCTGGTAGCGCAGCAGCGAGCGCATGGTCTTGCTCTTGACGGTCGCGAGAATGTCCTCGCTCCACGCCAGGTACGGCAGCGTGTCGATATCCGGGTCAATTGGGCGGTACTCCTTGTCACACTCGTTGGGTATGGCATGGTGTGTGGCGTGTTTGTTCTTCCACCAATTCATGCTGAAGCCCTGGGCCAGGTTGCCGAGGATGTACCCGCCGATGCACGTGTTCAGGGACCGCGATTGAAACACCTGCACGCGATTGGAATGATCTACGTCAACTGTGAAAGATTATCGGTAATACAGCGCTGCCGCGTGGGTGCGGCGCGCGCGGCGTGCGTCTCAATTAGCGGTTTCAGGAGGACTCTCTGCCTCGATAACGAGCGGAGACAACAGCATCAGTGAGACGACAGATTCGCGTGCGCGTGGCGCTGACCTGGTGGTGAAGGAAGTCGTGCGAGAGCCAGCCGACTTGTTGAAAAAAGAGGCCGAGAAGCACGGCGGAGACGAGCACCCAGCGCGGGTCGGAGGTCCACATGATGATGGCGATGCTGGCGGCGACGATGGCGAACGTCGACAGCACCTTGAACAGGTAGTACGCCGGGCTGCACTTAAAGTACCCCTTCGCCTCGAACGACGCCCGCAGATCGCGGAAGTCCTTGAGCAGATCGCCCGTCGGCTCGACCTCGCTGTCCTGTAACGGACGAAGCGGCAAGAAGTCGGGAGGCCATCATGAGATAAGACATGTGTCGCATCGTCCCCGAATCGTGGTAGGCTGTGTGGAGAGAAGCTAGAAATGTACGAGCCTATTATCTCTCCGTGCAGATTGCCAGACGCGGGCTGGGGCTTTTTAGGCTAGAAAGGTACTACATTTTGCAACAAATGACGGAGCCACTGGCGCTACTAACGTTCATTTTGGCAAACATTGCTGGACGACTTTGGTTCATCCGATACGTTGGTCGTATCTATCGCATCCAAACCCGAGCGTACCTTGAGATCGCCGATGTACAGCGTGGAGAGGAACGTCGAGGTGGACGGCTTGTGGAAGACGGCGAACACGTCCGTGGCGTTGCGACCCGCCATCAAGTAGATCACGCGCCCGCCTGGATGCTGGTCGGCAAAGTTGCTCACATCGTACACCTGCACGATCCACGGACACAGGGTGAAGCCCAAGACAGGATGTTGGAAGAAAATCAAGAAAAAGGCAGAACTGGGACGAATCAAGCAAAATCAAAACCAAGTCAGTTGCGGATTCGAGTCGGACCTTGTTTTGGACGACCACCCAGGCGTTCCCTGGGCGGTTGTGCTTGGACACCTCGTCCATGGTGAATTGCTTCGCCGCATTGCCGTTGGATTCGGCGACGGATCGCTTCGTGAGCCCGCCTGCATTACAGGCGGCGGTCTCGACAGCTGCGACACTAGCTTTGGTGACCTCGCCCTCGCAACCACCACGACCCTGAACAGACACAAGGCAGCACGCCGTCACGTCAGCTCAATGGCAGGCTGTGCACGTCTAGAAAGGCTGCGAGGAATGCTACGTACCATGTTGATTCGCTGTGATCCCTGCACCTAGTTTCAGTACCACGTGCAGAGCTCAGCGAGAAGCTGCTCTTGGCACAGATGGGAATATGCATAATACCCTTGCGTTGAAATAGACATGGGCATATGACCCAGACGGGTCCGATCCGACTTGGCCAAAAGGGGTTGACCATGTAGGGTGATGAGGATGATTAGTCAAGAGGAGAGTTGGGTGGAGGAGAGGGGAGTGAGGATACATTCTGGGCTTTGGTCAAACCTTCGGTCAACCAGTCTTACTACTATTCTAGTTGTGCTATCTGTCCAGTTGGCAAGTGTTGCTACCAGAGGTTTGACCAGTGCCCGGAGATTGGGGAGCCCAAGCAGCGGCAGAATCATCGAGTGAGTGGATCCCTCGAAACGCGGAACACATTTGCGAACAGGTATCGTGGTCGCTTACATAGTAACCCTTCGTACGAGCCTCGCCGAATCCACGCTGTGGTTATTGTGCGTTCGACAACACACATCGTCGCTGTTAGCGAGACGCAAGGGCACCAAGGTTTTCTCGTGGCCGTGCGACAGCACGCCTAAGAAGAGGCACCCTCTGAATTCGCGAATCGGAAGCCGCAGAACGCCTCGGCACGCCCTGGTGCGCTGGGTGTGGAGGCTACCGGGGTCACCGGGTGTGGAGGGCTACACCTAGCCCGCGCCAATTTCACTTCCCCAGAGTGGGGCGGCCGCTTGTCCTACCTATTCACCAACCACGTCTGCACCTTGCCCAGGTAACGACAAGGGGGTGAGAAAAAGGGGGTGAGAAAAAGGGGGTGTGAAAATGGCGCGGACCATGTGTATGTACCCGGGGAGTGGGGTGGAGGCTAACTGGGATCACCTCACCGAGGTCACCGGGCCGGGCCGAGGTAAAAAAGGAAGCCAAGGACGGTACGGTAGCAATAAACTCTATAACGTGGTTCAAGGGTGTACATTTCCAAAATTTCATCACCTACAAAACGCCAAGCCGTCCATTGCATACATATTCTCACAATCATTGATTTTCTCCCACCTTACGATGTTTTAGTTGAGCATAACACCCTATTTGGGAGCACTCTTATCTGTACCGGATTCCTGAGTGACAATGCATGGAGGTATCTGGGGCTGTTCTGGAGACAATGAAGGTAAGCAGGAGGGGAGGTAGATGTACGGTAGCGCGTCACTTCAGAATACTTGCATTTGACATGCAAGCAATTATATGATCCCACAAGCATACTCGGACAGCTCACATTCTCAGACCAGCATACAGACATCAATGCATGTAGGGACATGTGGTGTAACCATCACTGCTTTGCTTCGCCTGAAGATGGCACATGTGGAATGGATACAACAGATACGTTTACAGCCACATAGTTCCTCTGGGCCCTTAAGCAAGACACGGAGACTAACAGCAGCATACACAAGGCTACGTATACAACAGGACTGACTATTCACAACTAGATGAGAGTGACATCATTTGACCACGATCCTGAACTACTGTGGTCGCGGTTCTCGTTTACACAACCATAGCAATCTTAGGGCTGACGTCAGACGATGGCTGAGCGACAGCCACATTGTCCTCTGCCACCTTGGCGGGAACCACGGCAACCGTGTTGTCGTTATCGGCGGGAACCACGGCGACCGTGTTGTCGTTATCGGCGGGAACCACGGCGACCGTGTTGTCGTTATCGGCGGGAACCACGGCGACCGTGTTGTCGTTATCGGCGGGAACCACGGCGACCGTGTTGTCGTTATCGGCGGGAACCACGGCAACCGTGTTGTCGTTATCGGCGGGAACCACGGCGACAGTGTTGTCGTTATCGGCGGGAACCACGGCGACAGTGTTGTCGTTATCGGCGGGAACCACGGCGACAGTGTTGTCGTTATCGGCGGGAACCACGGTAACCGTGTTGTCGTTATCGGCGGGAACCACGGCGACCGTGTTGTCGTTATCGGCGGGAACCACGGCGACCGTGTTGCCGTTATCGGCGGGAACCACGGCGACTGTGTTGTCGTTATCAGCGGGAACCACGGCGACTGTGTTGTCGTTATCAACGGGAACAACGGCGACCGTGTTGTCGTTATCAGCGGGAACCACGGCGACCGAGTTGTCGCTACCAGCGGGAACCACGGCGACAGTATTATCGTTATCAGCGGGAACCGCGGCGACAATATTATCGGTATCCTTGGCAGCGACGGTAACGGAGTTGTCGCTGTCTGCAGGAAGGGGACGGCTCGCGTTACAGAACGCGGAAGCCGCGAGGAGGGCGAGAAGAACGAAAGCTGCCTTGCTCGCCATGGCGTCTACCCGATCTAGGAGGTTCCGTTCTGCAAACAATCTACAGTGCTGATGTCCTCTGATGCTTGGGTGCAGACAGTACGGTAAAGACTGGCGTGATGGTGAATGAAGAGAGGAAATGTGAGCGTGGCGAGGGAAGAAATTCGGCTGGTGATGGAGGACATTTGTCATGCAGCTGTGGCAGGTGTTCACCTGGCACCTGAATTGACACCTGCGATCCGTCTCCGCCATCTCCGGTTATGCTTGTATTGTGACTATTTTCGCGATTAGGCAAGACGCAGATAGCACCTACTGATTTCCTTGTACACCAATGCGCCTCTAACGAGATTCACAGGGTTTTCTATAAGATTTACGTCCTAACGATATATATAAAGCAATCACTAAACAGTTTGACGCACACTAAATAGAAAATATTTTCGTGTTTAAAACAGGCGGCTAGGTGAGTCAATGGAGACAACATGATCCGCGCCATCCTCCTCGTCACTGTCATCAACCGCTCTTTCATTGGGGGCAGAAGGAATTGGTTGAAGTTCACGCGATGGTCCTCCCCTGGTTTCTTTCCTTGGTGCATTCCCTAGCAATGCCGCTCCTGCTGAATCCAGTTGCTGATCTAGCGGAATGGCACTGGACGAGGTTGGGGCTGAGGATGAAGGCTGACGTGGTGGGAGAAAAGCACGGGGGACTTCAGGCTTTGCCACGTCTCCTGCAGCACCACCGTCCCTCGACACCCCATCGCCCTTCACACCATCACTGCCCGGAGTCCGTGAGCCAGCCGCTGCATAGAGCGATGGTAAGATCGCAGACAGCGACGTGCTGTGCGCCCCGCCCCGTGCCAGCTGTCCCTGCCCTGCAGTGCTGACCTGGCCGCTGCGCATCGATTGGACAATGTTGGGGTCACTGGATTTGCGCGCGCTGGCACCTGATGACGTGGCGGCACGATTGACCGGCTGTCCAGCCTGGCAGCCGAAACCAGGCAGCAGGTGCGGCTGAGAGGCCGTGAAGAGGGCGGAGGCGGGCGAGGGGGCAGGGCTGACTCGCGTGGCGTGCAGGTTGTAGTGGCTGTGGTAGTGCGCATGCACATGGCTGTAGTGCAGCTGCGCGTGGTGGTGCGGTGACGTGTCCGTCGGTCTGCGCGGTCTCAGGTTCAGCTGGGACAAGAGGGGGGGAGGGGTGGGAAAGGTGGTGAGGAGTGAGGAGAGAGCAGGAAAAACACACGTGCACAAGTGGAGTGTCTGCCCGCACGCTCACTTCCAGCTCTTTTGCACGCACCTTGCTGCCGAAGACACGCACCTTGCTGCCGAAGACACGCACCTTGCTGCCGAAGACACGCACCTTGCTGCCGAAGACGCTGAGCTCCATGGCTCGCTCCATGAGCGCCTGGTCCACCACTGAGCGGTCCCTCAGCGCCTCCGCCAGCTCGCTCCCGCGCGGCATCGTCATCTCACTCGCCGCCTCCTCGCCCACCCACCCCACGCCCTCCTCGCCCCGTGCTGCCCCACTGCTCCCGCCTGCGTGCTCCCCCGCCCCCACGGCGGCCAGCAGTGCTTCATTGAGGGTGCTCTCCTCGGCGCCCTCTGCTCCGAAGCGCAGCAGCCCGTCGTGGTCGTGCGTGGCCTGTGGGCGGTGCACGTGGAACGACCTGATTGGGCAGGGAGCGAGGGGCAGAAGAGGGCGAGGACAGTAGGAGTGGATGGTTGCATTGCAGATGACGGAACAAGTGCATGCAGAGCAGGGAGAGCAGGAAGGCGCTGTGCGAGCAAGCAATGCGAAGATGGCACGTGATAGTCATGTGCATGTGTGCGTGCATTGCAAGTAAACGTGCAAGCCCCATGCATGCATCCACTGTCTGGCGCACGCACCTGGTGGGCGTGTTTTGGACGGACATGAGGTCGCGGGGCATGTGGATGACAAGCAGCTTGCAGAGGGAGAGAGCGGAGTAGCGCCCGTGCAGCATGGCAGTGCTGTCCCCATACACTGCCCGCTCAGGGGCTGCACACACACAGTGAGAGATAGCACACAAAGAGTTATGACCTCATGACACGGGCAGCAGTTGATTGCTGCACATTCAATTCTTTCGAACCAGTCAGTCAACATGCAATGGCACGGGCGGCAGTCACGGGGAGCGCACCTGCGGCTGGCAGTGGCTGTGCTGTGAGCAACGCGGGAGCATCAACAGCCACCAGCACGCCATCCTCCACTCGCCCATCCCTCCCACCTCCTTCACCCTCTCCCCGTTGCTCCCCATTGCTCTTCCCTCCTCCTCCATCCCCATTCTCCCCACTGCCACCGCCCAGCAGCCTATCTCCCTCGCCTGGATCACCCCCTTGCACGACATCTGCATCTGAACCCTCGCTCCCTTTATCCTGCCCTGCACCTGCACTTGCAGAACCAGCAGCAACGGAATCAGCAGCGGTACCATCAGCAGCGGCAGATGAGGTGGTAGCAGTGTTTGCAGAATCCATCACAGGGTGAGAAGCAGCAAGGGCGGATCCAGAGAAAGGAATGGCAGAGGCAGAGGCGGAGGCGTTGGCGAGGGAGAGGTCGACGGTGCGCACGGAGCCAAGCAGCAGCACCGCCACTTGCGAGGGCAGCAGGTCCAATGTGTCTCCTGGGCGGCAGGTGAGGAGGTGCGCTGAGTCTGTGAGCAGCACGCGCAGCTCGTGCATTGACAGGGCCCCGAACTCCTCTGGTTGCAGCACCCTCACCACCTCCAGACAGCTCTCCTGCACGCAGGGGAGAGGAACACAGGACAGGGGAAGCGTGAGTGCACAGGGAGGAAGGGGAGGGGAACCAGGGGAAAGGGGAGAAGAGCATGGAGAGAGAGAGAGAGAGAGAGAGAGAGAGAGAGAGAGAGAGAGAGAGAGAGAGAGAGAGAGAGAGAGAGAGAGAGAGAGGGATGATAGCGCTCGCCCAACGGGCGGCCGACGCGGCGGAGGTAGAGCTGCAGGCCGGGGAGGGCGAGCAGCTGGGCGTGGCGTGAGGGCTCGAGGAGGCGGTCCGGAGAACGTGTACCAGCAGGCGGGACGGAGGGCTTTAACTGAGATGAGCAACGATAATAATTCAACCACTTCAGACGGCAGCTTTGTAGCTGCAGAATCTACGGACTCGACCTCTAGCTCTGAGTCACTGGAAGACGAGCAGCAACAGACCCCTGATCGAGCGAGCAGGCCAGCCGCAACTCACCTGCCGGGGGGAAACTCAGCAGTGAGATCCAACAGGAGGGGTCCCCCAACACCAACCCGTGCCGCATCGGGAAATTTCGCCACTCCACCAATCCCAACCCCGATTTCCAACATTCAGACCCCTACCCACACCGCCCCCCAACCTGCACCTGGCGGTAACCACGTCCCAACCCAACCCTTAGAGGAAAAATCCCCAGAAACTCTCGCCAAGGACGACACGCTATTCGCCAGCGTTGTAGCCTGGGATCTCACGAAACTACGCGACTCTCGCCACGCACCCCTTTCCCGCCACCTCCCTCCAGACCCACGCAAGCTTTTCGCCACAGCCTTGTTGGCGCCGCTGCTGCGCTTGGCGAAATATCCAGACTCTACCTCTGCTTGGACGGTCGTTCTATTCCTGGCGCGCTTAACACTTCGCCAGCTGTCCCCACGACGTCCAGATTGGAAGGCTGTCAGTGCCCGCCTTCGTCAGTTTCTGTCCGGGGAGTGGGATAAGCTATACAATGAGACAGTGGGCTCACTGACGTGGCCCCAACCACCTAGACACCAGCCCGATGACATTGGTGTCATCGCTAGGGCAGAGGGGTTGGCACGACGTGGCAGCCTACGACGAGCCGTGATGGCACTAGAAGCCACGCCAGTCAGCATTCCCTCCCCAACTGTGCTGGAGGCCCTGCGCGCCAAACACCCACCAGCGCCCGCCTCCCCACCTGACTGGACTTTTCCAGCACCTGACCCCCACCTATCAGCACCATTTGCAGTCTTCTCCAAGGTGCTGGGAAGCTGCGAGATGGGGGTAGGAGCGGGCCCCTCTGGAACCACGTTTGAACACTTACGCGATGCAGCGCTGATCAACCACTCCGTTGGGAAGCACCTTCACGCACTAGTCAACACGATTCTCACGGGAAACCTACCTCCTGCAGTGGCCGAGCTCCTCACCGCCTCGAGATTAATTGCCCTGAGCAAGCCCGATGGGGGGACGCGGCCGATCGCCATCGGCGAAAGCATAACGCGCCTCGCGGCCAAGACGGCGCTTACCTTGACCGCAGGGGCCGCCCGTGAGTTCTTCCTACCGCACCAGTTCGGCGTGGCTGTCCCTGGTGGGGCGGAAGCGATTATCCACATCACACGCACTTACCTCACGGTGAACACAGGAGCTTTGGTCCTGCAGGCTGATCTGGCGAACGCATTTAACAGCGTCAACCGCGACGCCATCATCAAATCTCTTCGGGACTCCACCCTCGCCTCGCTCTTACCGTTAGTTAAACTGCTGTACGGCCTTCCCTCGGCTCTATGTCTGGATGCTGGCTTCTCACACCCACCTCTGCTGAGCGAGACCGGGGTGCGACAGGGAGATCCCCTCGGCCCGTTGTTGTTCGCTGCCGCCATACACCCTGCACTGACGAAAACAGCGCTCACCTTCCCCTCTGTCGTCTGTCTTGCCTATGCGGACGACGTAACTTTCCTTGGAGATGCAGCCACGTGTGCAGCAGCGTTTGAGGACTTCACAGGAAACCTTGGGGAGATTGGGCTGCGCCACAACCCCGCCAAATGCGCAGCCTGGTCCCAGGCAGGCCGACAGGGAGCTGCGCTACCAGTGGGCGTACCTTTCACTGAAGATGGGGTGAAGGTGCTTGGCAGTTTCATCGGTGGCAGTGACGCAACTGCCGCGTTCCTACGTGCCAGCCTCGACACCATGGGCGGGCCGTTGCCCTTAATAGCGCGGATGGAGCCACAGCTGGCTTCCCTTCTGCTCTCTCGGTGCATCTCACGAAGGATCGCTTACGTCGCCCGCACCACGCCGCTTTCAGCCCTGCCAGTCGAGGAGTGGTCAGACTGGGGTAAAAGGCTGTTTGAGACACTGCTCGATGCCTGCGGCATTCGCCACCCACGGGGGGAGGCCGAGATTTCACGTACCTGGGCGCAAGCGTCACTCCCCATCTCGCTCGGCGGTTTAGGTCTCACAGACCCCTCGGTGGAGGGACGTGTTGGGTTTCTCGCAAGCTACACGCAAGCGCAGCACCTGCTCACCTCCATTGATGAGTCGGCGGCCGGCGCCCTGGCGGAAACGCGGATCCAGATGGTGGGGCCCTTCATCAACACGTCCCCGCTCTTTGACTGGCTGGAGAGGTGTGAGGAGTCACTGCCGGATGATGGGAAGGAGCTGCTGCAGAGCGACCGAGTTGATCCCAAGGGCGTCAAGCTGCAGCACGGGCTGGCAATCGCGGTCCACGGACTGCGCTACGCGGAGCAGGTGCAGGCTACACGCATCATGCCTCTCAACCCAATGAGCGGGCACACTCAGCGCATGCTCTCACTTTCAGGGTATGGGGCAGGAGACTGGCTCAATGCAGTCCCCTTCAACTCGACACTACGGCTTGCCCCTGCTCACTTTGCGCATGCGCTGCAATTCCGGATGGGGCTACCCTCCTCAGCTCCAGGCGCGTGTGACTGCCGCAAGGAGACAGCGATCCCAGACAGGCGGCTGCCCAACCACCTGCTGCGCTGTGACACAGGGAAGGGGCGGACCAACACGCACAATGAACTGCGCGATGCGTGTCTGCACATGGCCGCCGACGCTGATTTCATGACTCACAGTGAGACGACCACGTTCTGCCCCGTCACCCTTAAGAAAGCAGACATAGCGATCCGGGACAAGTCCTCAGGGGCGGTGTGGATAGGGGACGTGACCATCACGGACCCCATCAGCACACGGGATCCCAACGCGGTTAAGGGCAGGGGGTGGGCGGCCAGAGAGGCGGCAGAGAAAAAGATCTCCGACTACGAGGGCTCAACGGCCTCGTGGGTCGGATTCTTCCCTCTCGCCGTTGATACCTACGGCTGCCCCTGCGCGGAGGTCCCTCAATTCCTCAAACTTCTGGCCGACACCGGCGCGCGCAGGCTCTTCAACGCGGCCCCCTCATCTTACCAAGCAACAAAGCTGCTGCATCAGTTCCGCCAGCGGTGGTCCGTGGCGCTGCAGCGGGCGCAGTCGGTGAGCTTCATGACGAAGTGCAACTATGCGGCTCAGGTAGAGAACCCACCTGTGGCGCTGCCGGGCGAAGGCATGTCCCTCGGGGACTGCCTTGCCATCCTGGAGCCTGCACTGGAGCTGCCTTAGAGGGTGAACGAGAGTAGGTAGGATATGGGGGTTATAGAGGCTGAGGTGCATTGCTCCTTATAACCTTGTGCATGTCTGTACCGTGCTCGGATCTAATACACGGACCGCTTGAGAGAGAGAGAGAGAGGACTTAGCACCCAGCCCTCTTCCTCTTCCCTTGGCCCTCTTCCTCTGAGCCTATTTAAGGGCCCTTGGTGCCTTCTTCTCCTCATTATTTCGTGTGTTCTCAGTTTTCCACGGCTGGAGAGAGCGAGAGAGAGAGAGGACTTAGCACCCAGCCCTCTTCCTCTTCCCTCGGCCCTCTTCCTCTGAGCCTATTTAAGGGCCCTTGATGCCTTCTTCTCCTCATTATTTCGTGTGTTCTCAGTTTTCCACGGCTCGCGCCGGCGGCCTTCGGCCGCCGCCGCTTGCCAGCGCGGCCTTCGGCCGCGCGTTTCAGAGGCAAGACACTCACACAAGGAGTCGATCAAGCAAGGCATTCCAAGAAGGAAGAAATCAAGCAACTGGAGAGCATCACCTTACGATCAAGATGCAATACTACACGAGACGCCACTCTACTTCATATACAGGCCAGCCCCCTCCGCCTCAAGCATCGCGAGAAGACACCCCGCCATCGAGTGGAGAAGCTCCGCCGAGAAGCGAAGAGTGTCAACAGGGGTCCCGTGCTGAGCCGCTACGTGAAGATCAAGAGCGAGGCGGGGGAAGGTACGGGCTAAGGGTGCTACCCCGGCGGGCGCATCCGACACGGGCGATAAAAGGGGGACAATCTCTCCTGCCCAAGCGACGCACTGTCCTTGGGGCCCTTGAGCAAAACTGCTCGGTGTGTGACGCATGGCCTCACACGCCGCCAGCTGCAGGCTCGCCAGCCCCTCAGCCGCCCCCGCCAAATTCCACATCCGGCACATGCTCAGCGTGGGATCTCTCCCCGCGCGGCTGGGGAGAGGCGCAGTCGGAACTCCGCGCGGCAGAAACACCCCCACCTGGCCCAGAGTCTGGCCAACCGTATTCTGAGGAGCAGGGTAACCTGGGGCTTGGCGGCGTCCGCGGAACGGCCCCCTCGCCGCTGCAGCTGGCAGATACTCCCGCAAGGTTGGAGCGCGCAGCGGAGCGGCTTCAACCGCAACAGGTGCGGTGGGGGGCTCAGTGGTCACAGACACGTGAACGTGAGCCGCTGCCCCCGACGCTTCCACCTCCCGCACTGCATCCGCCACCATATTCCCCGCGCGGTCAGCAGTGGAGCCCTGGCCACGACTACCCCCGCTGCGCGCATGACCATTCCGCCGCCCACGACGCCCTCCAGACCCAGCCGACTGAGGACGGGGCGGGGACTGCTCACGGCGGCGAGAATCCCAACGGCCCGCATGAGCCCCGCGGCCCCAACGCGGAGGCGACGGCCGCGGCGTCCGCTGCGGAGGGGATCGCTCCCGCGGGGAGCGCTTCTCCGGCGACCTCTCAGAAGAGCGGTAGCGGCGGTCGCGATGCTGAATTTCCCGCTGATATTCGTCCCATCGCCGCCGAGAGTCATGCGGCTCGGGGGCGCGACGCGCAGGGGACGCGGGTCGATATCCACGAGGCGGCGGGGACCGGCCCCGCTCCTGACGCGCCGGCAAGGCATTCGACGCGACGACTAGGGGAGCACGGGATTGCTCAGGAGACGCGTGACGATCCGCCCCGCGCAGCGGAAGAGACAACCCGCGCTCAAGACGGCGCACGGGCGCCGACGCAGCAGGACGAGCCTGCACTTGGGAACGCGGAGGCGCATACTCGGGGTTTGGCTGCGCAACAAGCTGAGCGCTCTCCGCGGTTGCTTCCAAGGCGCGGTCGCGACCCACGGACCCCGCCATCACGACCGAGGCGTGAGCCGAGGACGCCAGAGCCCCGCTTGGCAGGGGAGGAGATTGGCGAAAACCGCACGCCTGTAATGCACAGCCCAATCGCGAGGAGTGG